ACATGTAGGTATTCGAGGCAGACGATGATGCATAGGAAGACCAGGGCATTTGGATACGACGGCAGGCATTGGCATCGGTGGAGCCGACGGCAGGCATTGGCATCGGTGGAGCTTTGCAAAGGGAGACGGCGCCCTGTCATTAGGTGGGGGTCTGTTATGGGGGCGTCTTGCCTCCGAGTCGAAGTGAATGAGAACCTTTGTGTGGTTCAAGCTGTTCCAGTGACCGTTGTTGTCTTGTGCGGCAACTTGTGGCTCGAGAAAATTGTGGATATATGATCAGTCGCCCGTCAAAATACGCCGGAAGTAGCTCCGTTGACAATAGAGACACGTAGCGAAACAGAGACACGTTAAGCGTTCGTGCATCCATAGACAAACACTCATGTGTGAGTAAATAACACGCAATACGACACAGTGAAAACCAAGGGGGGGGAGGAAGACACAATGCCAATTCGCGCTGCTGCAGTTCACTCGCCGCGAGCTCCGCCAAAGCTCGCCGCCATCCTCTTCGACCCCTTCCTCAGTTTTGCAATGGAGCGGCTTCTCTTGGCTGTCGTCTGAAGACACCACGAGCAAGAAAGAGCGGAAGTCGCCATCAAAAGATCAATTCGGCAAGGTTGCCGTCTGCACCGAGAAGCCCCAAGAGCCGGGGAGAAGAGCAAGAACCTTCAAAAGGGCGCATCGCTGCGCATCCGCAGGTAAAGGATGACAGCCTGGCCATCACAACTCACGCTCACAAGGCAGGAACAGTGCCAATTGAACAGTGCAGAACGCACCGATGATGATATCACAGTTGAAGGATGCATCTTTGATGTGTTCTCAGGTTGCGGCCTGCATGCAGGCGCCACCCGGTCCCCCGGGCATGGCACACGCCGGCATGACCCCATCCCTCGCCCCCTCTCCCCCTCCGCCTCCCCGATACCCTCCTCCGCCCCCTCCCAGCTCCCCCTTGCATGAGATGTTTGAGGTGAAGAAGCTCCTCGGCCGCGGCGTATACGGCGATGTCTTCGAGGCCGTCGACAAGGCCAGTGGGGAGACCCAAGCGGTCAAGACCTTCGCCAAGCGGGTCAACGGCGTGGAAGCCCACCCATCCACCCACGTGGAAGTGGCGGCCATGAGGCGCGCCCGAGGCCACCCCTATATCGTGGACCTCAAGGGCTTTTGCCTGGAGCACGGCCCCTGCCAGTTTGCTTACATGGAGAAGTGCGGCCCCAACCTCCACACCTACCAAGTGAGTCGCTGCCCCCACGGCTTCGGCATCCAGGTGCTCAAGAGAGCAACTTGGCAGTTGGCCCGGGGCATCGCCCACCTACACAAGCTGGGGGTGTGGCATCGCGATATCAAGCCGGCCAACCTGCTAGTGAGCCCCGACAGGCAGGGAGTCAAGATAGCTGACTTCGGCCTTGCTCTTCTTCGGCCCAGGAGGCTGGACTGGAGCCTGGCGTCCCTGTACGAGATGGGGACGCCAGGTTTTGTGGCACTCGAGGTGCTCCTGGCCAGGGAGATGGCCAAGTATGGCCTAGCGGGGACGGGCACGGTGATGGGCATCGAGCCATACAGCCACAAGATCGATGGGTGGGCGCTGGCGGCCAGCCTCTGGCAGCTGGGATTCGGCAGGGCGCTGATCCCTGTGGCGGCTGGATGGACCGAGGATCAGATCCTCTTCGACTCGGTGCGCATCCAGGGGCTGCCCAAGCCGGGGGACATGGGAGGGGCAATGGGGCACTTGATAAGCTGCATTCAGAACGACGGCCGCCGCAGCCATCGCCTCCCCACGGGAGACTGGGGCCTGTTCGACCAGTCCAAGGAGGCGATAAAGGAGAGGCTGATCTCCCGGCTGCAGCAGCAGGGTGTGACCGGGGCGCCGGTGATGGGCGATGCTGTCGTGTTTGGCAACTTCATGGACCTCCTGTCTAGGTATGTGCACAAAAAGAAGGGAAAAGACTGACTGAGGGGACAACACTCATCTGTCCCGTGTCTCTCTTGCTCTGTTTGCAGTTTGTTGCTGCCGCCCGCTGAAAGGCCGGAGGTTTCGACCATCCAGCGGTACCCTTTCGTCCTCACCCCGCCCAACCGCACCCCAGCCCCAGCACAACCCACTGCGGCTCCCTCAGACCAGCAGAAGAAGGCCGCTGCTGCCCTTGACCAGCAGAAGGGGCGGCCTGGGGTGGCCGGCGAGGAGAAGGCGCACGAAGAGACCGCTGAGGATGACACTGGCCAGCGAGAGGCCGCCGCCAATGGTGATGGCGGTGAGTCTGACGAGAGCGCTGCCAATGGTGATGGCGGTGAGTCTGACGAGAGCGCTGCCAATGGCGATGGCGGTGAGTCTGACAAGAGCGCTGCCAATGGTGATGCCGATGAGTCTGACGAACAGAGCCCTACCGAGCAGCCGAGCAGCACTGATGGCGGCGACACGTTTCCCCGAACGAGGAGACCGACGGCCGACGGCGCAGGGGCACCAGAGGCCCACGACGGCGAGACAGGGGAGGGAGACGAGGAAGATGAGTCCCTCCGTCTCCCTTTCCGGCAGGCGTTTCCCTGGAAGAACTGGCAATCGACGCCCACCCGAGATGTGTCACCGAGACGGGAGAGGGACATGATGGGAGGCCGCTGGGGACGACCTGGCGATGCGTGAACATCTGACCGTGTGTGTGTGCACGCTGGCTGGCGGTGTCCGCTGATGCGCACTGGCGGCATGCATGTGGTGCGTGTGGTGTGGCGATGCGGGGGACGCGAGATATGACCGCCCTTTTTGCCGGATGGACACGAGACGCATGTGAACAATTCAATAAACGTGCACGGCCCAATTGTAGCAGGTTGCAATGATGCAGTACGTGCCGAACAAATGAGTGCCGTCCACAAACTCACAAACGCATCAAATTATCATACACACATTGACTTGACGTACAAACAAACGCTAATTAGCAGCGGGCTCGGTCAGCCGAAGGAGAGAGATGCCATCAGTACGAGACGGCGACACATGTATTATATAAGGTCAAAACTTCACCAGCAAACGTATGTATGTTTGTCCTCCTTGGCTCAGGCTACAGATATAGATGGACGCAGGCAGCTCTCCTGTGGTCAGCCAGGCCCAGACATAAGTGCATGAACCGGTCCCTCCATCCCTCCATCCATCTCTTCTTGTCGCCTCCCTCCCCTCAGCCAGCCAGCCAGCCAATTGGACGAGTGAGTGCTCCCCTGTGTGCTGAGCATGACTTCATCCCGCCTCCGACACTTGCTTGCCGTCCGTCGGCCAATGTCGTCATGCCGGGCGGGCCATCACACTTGGCACGGCAGGGGGCACGCATTCACTCGCGGTACATTGACGGACGTACTGAATGATACTGACACATATACACATGCACATACACATACACATACACATACACATACACATACACATACACATACACACACCGCTCAGTGTGTGTGGGTCCTCAATTCACCTGTATGTAAGTCTTCCCCGGTCCTCTCTGGCAGTAGGGCACCACGGATGCGCTCCTCAATCGCTCAGGTCGAAGGCTTCTGCGAGACTCACACCATACGTCTAGCGTATTGGTTGCTGCCCATGTTGGCCGTGCAGTCCAGCAGGTGCTTCCTGGACAGTGTACTCGAAAGACAGCCGCCTCAACATCAAACGACACACGACGCTGAATGCACAGACAGACAGACAGACAGACGATCAAGATACACAGAAACAAGCGAGTGCAGGGAGTCTGCTCACCGCTCTCTGAATCATCGGCTGCATCTCATCGCACACGTACTGTATGTGTGTAGTCGATGATTGCCATGCACTCGGATGGCTTGGTGTGGTACTGCAGCATCCTATATATGTGCTGCAGTGGCCAGTGTGCCTAGAGATGTCCTCGCCGTCGACAGCTGTGCAGATGGTCTTAGTTGAGGAGGGTGTCGACCTCCTCCATGTATCGACACCATTCTCCGCCAGTGACTGTCTGACGACGTCCGATGGATAAATAGATCAGCGCCTGGAACACACAGGCAGGAAGCGGCAAATGAATCAACACAAATGACGCACCGTTTCGGTTCTGGCGAGTCCCTTTCCTCCCTCATCTGCGAGCTTTGTTTTTGACAGGCAAAGATCTTTGGACGGCTGGATCTTTGACCCCAACCTCGGCAGCGCTATACAAGTGTCGGCAATGCAGATCCTGCTGGCCTTCGTTGCGCTCTCGAGCCTGATCTGCTTCACTCACTCCTTCCAGCCCTCTCCTCCCCTCAGCCACCGTGAGCACTCATTGCACGAGGCACCATCATATGGCGCGTGGTGATGTGCACAGCACAGTGGCCCATGGTGCCAAGATCTGGCTCTGTCTTGGTCTGGTGACTTTCAGTCGCCTTCCGAGCACCTGTATCTGCCGCTGCTCCCTCTCGGCACCATGCACCTCGCAGTCGCCTGTCGTCGTCCCTTCAGATGCAGGCACCAGCTACAGTGAGGATGGGTGGGATGGCTAGACAATCAACACGGTTGAAATGAATGGAGGTCTCTCTGCACTCACGCACTGCACTGTTATGTGTGTGTGAAGTTGATTCAGTACCACGGCGTGAAGCTGCGACTGCCTGTGTTTGGCGACACGAGTGTGGGGGTGGCCTTCACACCGGAGGCCTGCAAGGAGCTCTCGGCAAAGGTCGATGAGGTTAGGCCGTCTGCCCGGGAGAGGAGAGGCGCACTCATGGCTTCTCGGGCGATGTGTGTGTGTGTGTGTGTGTGTGCAGGTGCTGCAGACGTTCAGGGTGATTGCTGATCGGAGGGAGGGCAGGGAACGGCCACGGTGAGTGAAGGAGCATGGACGGACGGATGGGTGGGTGATGGAAGACCAGACCACGCGCACATCACTTTCTAAGTGCGTGTATGTGTGTGTGATTGACTCAGTCGCGAGCCATCGATGGAGTTCCAGACGGAGGTCGACGGCACGCGCATCAGCTTCGAATGCAACCCTAACATATTTCCGGTACGCACGCCGAGCCGCACGCAAACTCACACATCCATCCATCCATCCACATATGTATGTGTGTGTGTGTGTGTAGGACTACACGAAGGCCCAGGTGTTTTTCCAGGTCAAGTCGCCGCACGTGGACATCACCGCACAGCTGTCCTTCCAGAGCCTCATCGAGGCACTCGCACAATACAAAGAGCAATACGGAATGTGACGAGTGTTGCACTGCACTGACACGAGGCGAAGAGAGCAGGGAGGGTCTGTCTGTCTGTCTGGAGGGGCTGCGGCTTAAGAGAGACGGATGGTTTGATCGCTCATTTGTTATTCTGCAATGTGTGTACGCCTACTGGCGTCGCTCGCTTTATGCATCCTCGCCGTGCTGTGCATGGGTCCATCCATCCATTTTGAGTGAGTGCGAGGGACACACACGTATACAAACGGATTGATTGCCTCATCCATGCGATGGGAGAAATGGCCATGCGAGTGGCGACTGCGACGTGGAAGCTCCGTCCTTGGCAAAGGAAAGAGATTCGACGTCGTAGTCACCATCGCTAGGTCGGTCATTTCTCCCATCTGGCAACCGAGGCTGGTTTACCTGTCAATCCCTCATGCACAGGTCGTCAAGTGATTGCCTGCCTCCCTGCCTCACGTAATGTGCGGCTGCCATCGCCGCAATATCAGCCCTCGGCAGCCCAGCCAATTGGCCGCCGCACTCACCCCTTCCCCATCCTGCATGCCCCCCACTGCTGCACCACCGCCATCTGCCGTCTCTGTTTTCGTTTCGATGCCCAGCAGTCCCAGAAGGAACGTCAGGTCGGGTGAGGGCGGGTGTGGCAGGGCGGCGGGGGGGATGGGGATGGGGGGCACTTCACGGACGACGACAACATCCTGGGGTAGATCAACAGACAGACAGACAGACAACAGAAGGGTGGGTGGCTGGATCCACCCATTGTGAGTCTCTCTGGCTGCTGAGCTGACCTTGGCCACGCTGACGGCTAGACGGGACCCACACACCACCTCCCTTCAGAAAGAAAGAAGGACACACCGACACAGGTGGATGGATGGACGAAAAATCGATCCACGGACACACACGTACGATATGCATCCTGACCTCCATGTGGTGGGCTGGGGCTGCGGTTGGGCGTCTCCCTCCCTCTGCTGCTCCTCAGCGCTCCCCACTGCCATGGTGTCACCACCTCCATCGTTCAGCCTCCGCCGCTTGCTGGACCTCTCGGCCGCCACATCATCATCGCTCATGTCAGGGGCCGGCCCGCCTTTACCTTCATCATCTGGCTGATGCGGGTGGAGCTGCACCGCATATCTACACGAACACACAAAGAGAGAGAGAGCGAGACCCATATAGAGGAGAGATGCCACTCCTGCTTTGTGTTGGTGTGATGGATGTGTGTGCGTTAGTTCACTGGCTGTCTCACTGACTGTGCGTGGACTTTTTCGGGTGTGGATGCGTAGAGGAGGTAGTTGGCGCCGAACTTCATGCCGCTCTTCACCACCCAGCCCTTCAGACGCAAATACACATAACTGCACACAGCACCACACACACATATACACACACATTCGAACACAGCCACACCGATTGGATGCACACAGGTACATGCATACCTCCTGAATGAGAAGGCAAAGCGCAACTGCGACCGGCAAAAGGCCTCGTAGGCCTCACGGCAAGACATAAATGACGCATCAAGGTTCCCTGCACACACACACACACCCCGATAGATAGACATATGTCAGTCACATAAGTCCCAACCAAGCAACAAAAGCAGAAAGCGCCCGCCCCACTGACCTCTCAGCCGGACGTCGAAGGGGAAGCTGCCCATCTCGCCCAGCAGCACCAGGTAGAGTGCCTCCTCGGGGGCCAGGCAGAAGGCCTGCAGGTCGGCGTTGTGCTTGCCGTACCCATTGGCCTTCAGGTAGGCCTCGAACCGCCGAGGGGGCTTGAGGAACAGCACACAGGGGTGGGCGAAGATGCCCACCACCCTCTCTCTCCTTGACACCAGCTCAGCATCGATTCGATTACCACCAGCGGCAGCAGCAGCAGCAGCAGCAGATCTTGAGACGTATGACGGGATCCCACTTGGGGTGCTTTCACTGAACTGATAGAGGTAGGCTGAGCGAAAACAGCCAAAAGGGCAGGCAGACAGGGAGTGCGTGTGGATGCTCCATATCTCCCCTCACCCACCCACCGACCCACCAGTGTCATTCTGTCGCTTGTTCATCTGTGACGACTTGGTCATCCAGTCGTCACACACCACCTTGGCCCGACCGCCGCTGATGGACGCCTCTGTCAGCGAATTGTCACGCAGGAAACGAGCAAAACCCTGACACCACGCACCACACGCCACACGCAGCGGGCCACCACTGTGTGAGCACAGCACTCATTCGCATCTGCCGTAGCCGCACCGCACCTGCGTGCTGAGAGTCCTGGCCACGACGATGTGTGTGATGCTTGGGTTGAGCTCCTTCGAATCCTCCCGCCCCTCTTCGCCAATCACCGTGCAGGTGATCTCCTGTGCCACCTGTCCGCCCTTCTTCCTCACTCGCTCACTCATCGCCTTGATCCGCTCCAGGCCCAGGTCGCCCCGCCGCACAAAGTACAGGCAGCAGGAAGAGAAAACCCCCGCAGACGACGAGCAGGACACGGACGACTCAGCCATTGCGAGTTGCAACTGGATGAATAAGAGCTGCCGGATCTTTGACCTCTTCGGCTGCGAATGCCGTGTGGCTGCGTTTCTGGCCTCTTTCCACAAAAGCGCGCAAAGGATCGCTCCATAGCTCGCAGACGGAGAAGGCGAAAGAGGCGGACTTCAGGAGATCTGTGAAGATCTGTCACCAGTGTGGTCAGTACCGTTCATCGCTTTCAACAGATAGTAGACAGACAGGCAGAAGCTGGCGCGACGATGGGTGGGATGACGGAGATGGCGCGGCTGCGGACGGAGGAGAGCAGCAGCGGGGACAAACTGACCGGCGGCGGGGGGAGGAAGATGCACTACTACGTCAATGAGAACCCCCCATGGTATGACTGATCGACATGACGGACAACAAACAACCGACAACCATGGATCTTTACCTCTCTGACCGTGTGTGTGTGCGTGTGCAGGTACTACGCCATCGTGCTGGGCTTCCAGCATTATCTGACCATGTTTGGCGCGACCATCGCCATCCCATTCATGTGAGTGGGCTGACCCGACACACACACACAGCACAGCACGTGTGTGATTGATTCAAGTGGGTGTGAGCGAGAGGCCAGTGAGGCCTCCCGGCAGATGATGGCATTTGTGCGTGCATGAGCAGTGTACACACACACACATACTGTGATTAGAACCATGTAGCCATTAGCAGGAATGGCACCTGATGCACTCATTTAATAACGGTTGCTGCGGGTGTGTCGTCCTGTATCTTGTCCTCTCTGTCATGTTTCTTTCTTTCTCTCTCTCTCTGTGTGTGTGTGTGTATACTGTGCAGATTGTCCGATGCCCTCGGCGTGACAGAGCTGAAAGACGTGAGCTGCCTGGCCAGATAACAGAAAGCTCCACTCGTCCATCCATCAGCGGCATATCTGTCCGTCTGGCTGTCTGTCTGTCTGTCTGTCTGTCTGCGTGTGTTGCAGAAAGCCCGTTTGATCCAGACCATCTTCTTCTGCAGCGGACTCTGCACTCTCCTACAGGGCCTCTTCGGCCTACGGCTGCCTGTGGTCCAGGGCGGCACATTCAGCTTCCTCGCACCGGCCATGGCCATCGCAAACGTACGCAAAGCAGACCCTCTTCGCTCTTCGCCCCACACCATGCTGTTACCCTGTGTATGTATGCAGCTGCCGGTGTTTGCTGATGCGGGGTGGCGGCCCAAGCTCCTCGAGATCCAGGGGGCCATCATGGTGGCGGCCCTGTTTGAGGTCATCATGGGTGCGACGGGTCTGGTGGGGATCCTTCTGCGGTTCGTTGGGCCATTGACAATCGCTCCCACCATCACCATGATCGGCGTGTCGCTTTCTGAGGCGGCGGTGTTGCAGTCGAGTGGGAATCCTGGGATCGCCTTTATGGGTAGGTGACATGGGGAGGGCAGGGGGGGGGAGGGGCATGAGTACAGGGGCTGATGGATTGTCTATCTGGGTGTGTGCCTGTGTCTGTGTGTGTGGTGTATAGTTGTGGTGCTGCTGATCGTCTTCTCGCAGTCTGCATGGCTGGGAAAGATCAAGTGAGTGAGTGAGTGAGTGAGTGAGTGGGGCCGCTGGCGGGAAGGAATGAATCCTCCCTCCTCGCCTGTAATCAATCGCACACAATCGGTTGTGTGTGCTTTGTGTGTGTGTGTGCTTTGTATGTGTGTAGGCTCCGCGTGGGCAATGCCGAGCTGCCTGTGGTCCACCTGTTCCCGGTGCTGCTGGGGATCCTGATCAGCTGGGGAGTATGCGCGATACTCACAGCCACGGGTGAGTGAGGGATAGAGGCCTTCGATTGGTTGATTGATGGCTGTGTGGATGTGACGTACATGTGTGTGTGTGTGTGTGTGTTGGGGTGCGTGTGTCTGTTCTTCTGTACCTGTACGTTGGGCTAGATACATTACGTGAGGGCGACGCCGCGCGCACCGACGGCAACCTGGCTGTGCTCAAGACTGTGCCCTGGTTTTACTTCCCCTATCCAGTGAACACACCAGAATACACGAGACATGCACGTGCACATGCATCTCTGTCTGTCTGGGTTTGTGGGTGGGTGGGTGAGTGGGTGGGATGTGTGTGTAGGGTCAGTGGGGGACGCCCACTGTGAGCGTGGCTGGTGTCTTTGGGATGCTGGCTGGCGTTCTCGCCGGGATGATCGAGTCCATCGGCGATTACTACGCCATCGCGCGCCTCGCGGACGCACCGCCGCCACCCAAGTACACACACGCACGTGCCCATTACGTTGATGTGGATGTGCGCGTGGGTGTCATGACGTCGATGGATAAACAGGACTGCCGTGAACCGTGGGATACTGTTTGAGGGCATCGGCTGCATCATTGCCGGTGCATGGGGGTCGGGCAACGGTGAGGACACCACACACACCAAGCGGCACACACAGCACAGCACGTACCCACACACACTGTCTGTCGGTTTGGCTGGCCGCTGGTTGTGTGCAGGTACGACAACGTATTCTGAGAACAACGGTGCTGTCGGCCTAACGCGTGTCGCGAGCAGGACTGTCGTCTTGAGCGGGGCGTGCATCATGCTCCTCTTCGGCATCATCGGCAAATTCGGCGGCATCTTCGCAACCATTCCTGGACCGATCGTACGCCCCCCCACACACACAGACACACAGACACATTAAGACAACCACACCCACAGTGCCCTGATATGTGGGTGTCGTGTCGGTGTTGTGGATGATCGGTTGGTTCACTCACTAGGTTGGCGGCGTGTACTGCGTGATGTTTGGGATGATTGTGGGCGTCGGCATCAGCAACCTCCAATACTGCGACCTCAAGTCAGCGAGGTGCGTTCAGTTCACACACACGGCCACCCCCCCTCCCCTCCCCCATGCACACATAGAATATCTCTCTCTCTCTCTCTCTCTTTGTTTCTTTCTCTGTTTCTCTCTGTGCAGGAACCTGTTTGTGGTGGGATTCTCCATTCTGATGGCCTTGGTGATCCCCGACTACGTCGATAAAAACCCGAAGAAGTTCGACACCGGTGTGGCGGAGCTGACACAGATCATCACGGTGCTTCTCTCCACCAACATGGCCGTCGCCGGCATCATCGCTTGCCTCCTCGACAACATCCTCCCAGGTGAGTCAGTCAGTCAGTCTGTCTGTCTGTCACGGATTGAGGGCGCCACAGCTGCATCCATCTCTTTCTCTCTCTCTCTGTGTGTGGGTGTCTAGGCACTGACGAGGAGCGTGGCATCACGGCGCTGCATGGGGGTGGTGCGGGGGCGAGAGCCGCATCTGAGGTGAGCGAGCGACAACAGGAAAAGGCCACATTGACACCTCTCTGTGTCTCTTCACATGATTGCTGCATTCAGGAGGAGGTTGCCAAGACGTACAACCCCATCGGCATCGAGGCCATCTATCGGTGAGCCACGCAGACAGACAGGCACCACACCGGGCTTGCTGGATGGCGTATATGTTTGCTTCGTGTGTGCGTGCATGCAGTGTGTTTCCGGCGTTTGTGCGTTGGTGTCCGTTCCTGCCGGTGCCGTACCACGGCAAGGGCGACGACACCGACAAGAACGGGGGCTTGTCCATCTCGCCCACAGAGCCTGACACAAATGACTTGTCGTCGAAGGTCTAGCCTGTCTGTCAGTGAGTCTGTCTGTGAGTCTGTCAGTGAGTCGTCTTATTGGTTGTCGCCGGTTGCGACCGACAGCCGTTCGTTGAGAGAAGACGCCGTCAGTGTTTTCGTCTTTATTATTATTCAGGCGACCCGTGTGTGTATGTGTGTGATCAGGTCGCCCTTTTTGGCTGAACCTGCCAAGGCAGCTAGCTTTGTGTGAGTGTGGTCTTCTCCTCTTTCTTTCTCTTTTCCCCTTTCTTTTTCCTTTTTCTTTTTCCTTTTTCTTTTTCCTTTTCCCGTGTTGGTTCCCTGCGTGATTGCTTGCCTGAAGAAAAGAATCGGCCCCACGAAGTGACCGACCGACCTATTGGTCAGCCTAGCCTGGTTGGGGCGCGTGTTTGTTCGTTTGTTCGTGTAAGGAGGTGTATGCTACATGGACGGAGGGAGGGGGGAGCGAGGGAGGGAGGGATTCATTCATACCGTTGCAAGTGCGTACTGGCTGAGAAGCTGAGAATGGGTGTCTCTGCCTGAGCGGCGAATGAGCAAGCAATAGGTAGGAGTACTTTTATCGGTCCGTGTGTCGGTGTGTCGGTCTTATTGGGCACGGGGGCAATGGACCGTAAGCTCCATCCATCTACACGTCCATCAAGAATTTTTACGTCCGTGCCACGCCGCGAGAGTGCCCGGCATGGACATCATGATGTGTGTATCGTGAGTGCTCACTGCTGTGTGTCGTGGGTGGGAGGGGCGCAACCCCGCCGTTTTTTGAGGCGGGTCGGGTCAGCCTCCCAACCAGACACACGTGTGCGTGTGCATGTGCCGTGTAAGTGGCGTGCTGTGTGGATACGAGTTGAGAGGAGGATAACTGCGCTGCCTCTGTGTCAGGGCCACGAGTGGAGTGCGTGGGGTCTGAGTTGTCGTGGCATCTCGAGGAAGATAGATAGTGAGGCTGCATAGCTACGTTTACAAGTCGATCAAGTGAATCAGTGAGTGACCGAGAGAGCGATATGTCATGATTTGTTGATTGATTAATTGAGCGAGCGATTGATTTGGTGATCAATCATATGTTATGTCATGTCACATATGATTGATTGTTGATCAACCAATCAATCAATCAAACAACAAATCACGACCGCCCGCCGATGATGGCTTTACGTATACACAATCAATCAATCAAGCAGAGCAAGATCAATCAATTAACAAATCAATCAACCAATCATGACTGGTCGCCCGCCGATGATGGGTTTTCTGGGCTTCTTGATCCTGCTTTGCGACGTTTGACTTGACTGGGGCCGCGGGAAAAGGCGACAAACAAGAATGCAAGCATGAATGTAAGCAACAAGAAATGTACAGACACACGAACACATGTCTCTTTCTGAAGCACACGAAGGGTCACGCCAAGCAGACACTGTGTCTTGCTTTTTGTCTCTTTGATAGGCTGCGACCGTCCCGACTGCCCATCAAACAACAACGGCAACAACACCGCCGGCGTCGGTGTACATAGATAGCATCTTACCATGAAGCACGAAATGCTCCCCTGCCAAGCAAACAAACTGCACATAGGGAGGGAGGGAGGGAGGGATGGGCCATTGACGTGATTTGTTGATTGTGTTCGGGTGGGTCACATACTCACGTCGCACTGGGAGCCTGGACAGCCAACCTGCACAGAGACAGAGAGACAGAGAGACAGACAGAGGGAGGGGTGGGCGTGTGTGTGTGTGGATGCCTCACCCACACATCCGTGAGTGTACCCATGCGCCCGGCAACGTCTTCTGTTGGGTGTGCGATGCAGTGAGCACAATCGCCATCAGATATAGAATGTAGGCAGCAATCTTCTGTCCGTCGGGCCCCTCGCACCACCTGTACCATACCCACAAGACACATCACACAACACACATCAAGTGTTATTGGCTGACTCACTCACTTGCTGTCCTCAACAAACGTCGGAGAGTTGATGCATCCTCGTATGTGCGACGTACCGGTCATGACACTGTGGCAGTATGTGTCGATGCGCTTGTATAGGTCCTTGCAGCCTGGGCCGGCGTCGATGTGGCCCGGCACAATGTCCTCGAAGAAGCTCAGGGCCAAGAGGGAGAGTCTGGGGCCAATGAACACGGGGCTCCTCAATGGCTTTCTTGGCCTTCGTCTTCGCGCGCTCGATGCATCCCTGGTAGAGCTCGACCACCGCCTGTCGCGTTGTGAAGCTGCCGAACGAGCACCCCTTGCTCAGGCGGGTCATGTCGGCCTTCTGCGCAGTGTACCAGGCGATGGCGGCTGTCTTGTACTTGGGGTCGGCGTCGGAGGGCATGGCAAGCAGGAGGACGGCCCATGCGGCACAGACGATGTCGCTGGCGAAGCCGATGTCCTCCTGCTGCCGCTCCTCGACCTTGGCCATGAGATTGCCGATCGTCATGCAGGGCGCGTTTGGGTGGCAGCGAAGGGGAGGCTGCGGGGGCGGGGGAGACCCATCCGGGGATGTCACGCAGCGTGACATCTCCATGTCGATGAGAAGGACTTCCCCCATCCGTCGGTCGGCGACCAGCACATTCTCGATCGACATCCGTGAAAGCAGGTTGACACCCATTGCGGCCTTGACACGCGCATCGACGACATTTGGCGCCGCACAAACCGACCGCAGCTTCTCCCCTCCAAAGCCATCTGCATCACACCGCACCACACAACACATGAAGATATGCGCCACTCCTCCCTTGGCACTTCATTTCTTTTTCCATTCGCTTACCAGCACTAACCTTCTCCATGAGAATGCACAGCCCCCTCTCATACTCAGCCGTCGCCCCTCCCTCGGTAAGTTCCACCAACGCTGTCGGGCGCAGCTCGGGCACATCAGCCACATCGGCGAGTATCCGGGGGGCGATCTGCTCGGTCCCGGTGTGGCGATCAGGCAGCGCCGTCAGCTGCAGCTGGGCATCCTGCAGGGCCGCGTTCTCCCCAGCCCATTGCTGCAGCTCCCGCAGCCTCTCTGCCTCAATGGCGAGGCCATCAACCAGCAGCGCCGCCCTCCCCATATCCCCGCCCTTCTTCCACAGCTCCCTCGCCACACTCTTGCGCACCACCGGCACGGGCACGTGGCCCGGTAATGTGCCAGGGCACACGTCGCACTCCCCGCGACCTCCCTCCTCTCCTGTGAACGGCTCGCCCAGGACCACCGACCTCACCAGCTCGGTGGGGTCACTGTCGTCGGTGCTGCTGGTGGGCCGGTCGCCGTCGTCGTGCGAGTGAGAGGTGGCGGCTGTGATGGGAGAGGCGGGCTCTGGGGCGGTGGTGGCGGTGGTTTCGGATGGAGCAGCCGCCGGTGCGTTGGGCGAGGACGGGGGCGGCGCCAGAGGGGATGGGTCGGTGGGGCTGTGGCTGTCAGAGGGGCTCCTCTGCAGGGGTTTGGGAGGGGGAGGGCCGCTGACAACGTCGTCGTCAGTGATCTCCATGGGCGCCCCAGCGCTGTTGCCTGCGATGGCGATGGCGTTGGCGTTGCTGGCAGATGCAGATGCAGAGATTGCTGGAATGACGTTGGCCGCCGGCGATTGGTCGGGTGGTGGTGACATGGGAGAGGGGGAGGGACAGGGGGAAGGCGTCAATGCCGTTGTTCTCGGTCTCTTCTTTCTTGCATACCACACCATCGATATCCGCCGCTGCACCTCAGGCAGTGTGAGGTGAGCTGCCGCCTCCTGACGAGACACTATCTTCGGCGCTGCCGCATCGTCCCCAATGGCCCACGTCTCTTTGTTGTCAGAGCACTTGGCCAGTGCCGCACAGTGGCCGCCATTGACCACCTCGTGTCCGTTGTCGTCCCTGTCAAGGTGGTGGAACTGGACGGCGAATAGCTCGAAAGGGATGGAACTGGTGACAGTGGGCAGCTCAAGCGTCATGGGGGCCGAGATGCGAAGGGGGCTGGGGTATTGACGGTCTATCGTCCCCCAGTTGGTGTAGTGGCACTGTGCGCGCTTCACCGACAGCGCCAGGACGTCCGCCGCATCGTACATCTGCTGTCTGCAATATAACCAAAGGAAACAAGCAATGGATGGATGAATGGCTGGATGAATGGATAAACATCGATGGATTTGTGTCATAGGAGCACCCCGTCTTACTTGTATGTGATGCGACCTCCGCAGCCAGAGCACGGGCGCTGGCCTTCGGGCTTATCATCTTGCAGCAAGGTCGCCTGGATGACCTCCGTGAGGTCCCACTCCTTGGACAGATCCATCACGTCAGTCACACCAATTTCCACCACCCTCTCCGTAGCGCCAACAGCTTCCCTGCCCTCGCCACACTGACACACCTTCTTCCTCAGAAGGGCACATCCAAACACCGCCCCAAATCGGCTCTCCTCCGAGACACCAGCCGCCGACTCCTCACATTCGATGATGTGCAGGAGAGCACGGAGTGTCTCAGCGGTGTCCTGTTGGCGCCGCACATCGAGGTCGTAGTCGCCGCCCCAAAAATCGCCACGCGGCTTTTGAAGATGCGAGAGCAGCGGCGTCATATCGAGGAGAGGGGCGCCCTGGCCGGTCGATGACGCGACGTTGAGGAAAAACTTCATTCATACACAACACAACACACAAGACACAACACACAGGGGTGAGGGGGAGGAGAGGGGGGGAAGCGGCGCGTGTGGTGTGGTGTGTGTGGTGGTGTCACCGTGCGCCCTGCAGTCACTCTTCCGTCTGCCCAGCAGCGACATCCCTGGAGGTGACGGCGGCGTACCTGCGCGTGACACCGGTGATCGGGTTTGTCGGTGATGGGATTCGAATTGAAGTGATAGACGAATGGAATGCAGTGTCGTCAACTATAGAAGAAACAAACAAATGCAGATACAAACACTCAGTCCCCGCCTTCCTCCTGTTCTTTCCGCATTGACCTTCCTGGTCCTTGTCAAGACTCTTTGGTCGTCTTCCTCTCCCTGGCCAGCGACAACACCTCCCACACCTCTTCAGACTCCCACACCTCGACAGGTTCTTGAGCAGCTGTTGAGTCTCACTCCGCATTACGATGAAGCTGAAGGCTGAGGTTAGGCCAACGAGTACAGGGATGTATACGAGACTGGTCGCTCTTTCGTCGAGGAAGGACCGCCCAGACGCCGCTGTCACAATCGCGCAGACGATGAACAGGTGTGGGTGTGGGTGTGTGGGCCTGGTAGGTGTGTGGGTAGTTGTTGTAGGCTGATTACTCAGCCTTCTTGGTGTCGGTGGCGGGGGCAAACAGCTCGTCCCACTGAACGCAACATACCACAACACAACACAACACACAAGACACAACACACAGGGGTGAGGGGGAGGACAGGGGGAGAAGGGGCGCGTGTGGTGTGGTGTGTGTGGTGGTGTCACCGTGCACCCTGCAGTCAATCTTCCGTCTGCCCAGCAGCCTGGGCGTGCCTGGGCGTGACGGCGTGCCTGGGCGTGACACCGGTGATCGGGTTTGTTGGTGATGGGATTCGTTCTGAAGGGATGGACGAAGGGGATGCAGTGTCGTCAACTATAGAAGAAACAAACAAATGCAGATACAAACACTCAGTGCCCGCCTTCCTGTTCTTTCTGCATTGACCTTGGTCCTTGTCACGACTCTTTCCTCGTCTTCCTCTCCCTGGCCAGCGACAACACCTCCCACACCTCTTCAAACTCCCACACCTCGACAGGTTCTTGAGCAGCTGTTGAGTCTCACGCCGCAGTACGACGAAGCTGAAGGTTAGTGTTATGGCAGCGAGTGAAGTGACCGCTACGACACAAATGCTGTGTCTGTGCCGGGGAGGGAGGACCGCCCAGACAACGCTGTCACAATCGCGCAGACGATGTACACGACGCACACCACGAAGACGACCAAGGACAGCGGGGTGAGCACGGCCACGAATACTCCAGGCCAGCCCTACCACACACCACACACACGCGGACTCACCAACACACCTGCTTGCCCGTCATCTCGCCACTTTCAGCTTACCACCTCTTGCTCGGCGGGCAGCGTCTGTTGCACCGGCGTCTGGTGCACTTGTTGTCTGTCGAGCTGAGCTGGCGGCGGCTGTTGCACCAGCGTCTGGTGCACCTATTGTTGGCCAGACAGGGTAAGCCGAGCATTCTCTTTCTCCCAGCATTGGCGGATGATGTCGGCGATTTGGGCGGCAGAGTGTGAGCTTGGTGGGCTCCTCAAAGTGGTACTCGATTCTCATCTCCATTGCCCGATACTGCAGCTCACATGGATCTCCCGAAATGAAAGGGCCCTGGGCAAGACGTCGATGACCTGCTGCACCAGCTGCAAGAACACAAGGCCTTCTGCGGCCTGCCTCCTCTCTGCCAGGTCGAATGCGCGAATCTGCCGGCTAGAAACGTTTTCCTCTCAAAAAAGAATCGTATTCTCGCCGTCTCAGACTTCTCGACGGAGAAAGAGGGAGAGATGAGTTGTTTCTTGTTTGTGTGCGAGACTGACCGATCTGCCTGCCTGCCTGTATATGTGTGTGTGTTTGTGTGAGACGGCTTAGCGTGTTGCCCTTGGGCGAGTAGGACGGCTGCGTCTCGGTGTTCGTGGACAGACAGATTCATGACTTGGCTGAACGAATATCATCTCTGGCTGCTCACATAACTCAACCACTCAAGACAGGCACCGCAAAGTCAGCGAGACAGGGACACATCCACATCCCAACGTCGCTCATGGCAGTAGGCCAACCGCCTTATTTCCAGTCCAAGTGACCTCAAGAGCTGCCGCACGGCGGCCACCGTGACAGGGAATCGCTCACCGACCGTCACCCCATTCGCCACCACCGCCTCGCTCGTCCTGACCACGGTTTGCCCTTCATCGAGAGATACTGACGCCACGACAGAGCCGCCACCCAGTAGCAGCACCACAACCCGTATTGGTGCATGAAGAGCTGGTGGTCGGCCTTCACTCCGCCATTCAACTCGCAAATCGATGACGAACGTGTCAGATTTGCCGCTGAGGTCATTCCGCCGCAGGGCACGATAGCCAGCATGACGCAACCCACTGTCACATCGAGGACGACATTCATGCCGCGGCGATAATCGACCCGCCGATAACCTGAAGCAACCCGAGGGCAAACTCGCTGAAGAAGCGGTAGACATGGGGGGTCGACAAGTCACAGCTGACGGGTGGGTCAGTGTCTCGACAGGTCCGACGAATGAATGGATGCAAGTGCCACAGCTCATCACGCTCGATGACGCGGAACCGCCTCTCTCCAAGACGATACCACTGGGCTTGCCATCCGATCCGGGCCACAAGAAGAATGAGCGCGCCAAACAAGATGCTAACCACCAAGGCAGCGACCCAGCACAATATGGCCCAGCCCGAGAGCCGGCCACTGCGGACGCCTTGGTAGGAATCCAACGTGCCGGCCAAAAAAAGCCAAGCGCACCCCAGCAGATAGAATAAGTAAACGGCTGCAGTCAGGAGTTGCAACCGCGACAAAGGTCCCAGCTCTGCCTGTGGGTCAGCGCCGTAGACATGGCCAAGTATCTGGTCAACGGCCATGGCAACGGGCAGCCGATGGAAGCTCGCCTTGTCGGAAGGTGAGCCGCCACTCTCTCAGCCGAGAGTACGAGGGGCAGTTGGCGACCCACACCGCAGACACTTGCCACCCTGATAAACGCGGCCATAGAGCGCCACTCAGCCGCCTGCTCGATGACATAGGCACAGCGAGCGGGATGGTGGGTGTGGAGGGGCTGCGGCATCGACGCCGCAGACTTGCGAAGATCCACGCCTCGCCTTTCCTGCCGTCGATTCATTCACAATCGACGCCATACACGCGCACCACAATCCAGGGCCTCCCTTCCACTCACACCTACACACATGCATATGCACCCACTCATGCACGCACACATCTCAGTGGACATTCTCACCCATTCGCTCGTCTCGTGAAAAGAAGTCGCCTCGTGCAATCGATGTCAGGGCGTCGGTCAGCGCCATGTGGCCGCCAATCGATCAAAAATCCAAAGCACATCACAATAGAAAATCCCTCGGCGTGTGTCTCTGAGCCAGAATCTCCACATAGATCGAGAGCCGCAGCGATTAGCCAAATCCCAAGCTCTCCTCTTCTCTCTCTGCACCGACACATTCATTGTGGGTCAGCGTCCCTTTCTCACTCACCATACGCAATGCCAATGCCGACCGATCTCTTGACAGCGTTTCCCAGTCATCTCTCCCGCCCCCCCATCGGATCGGTCATTCGGCCGCCCTCTCCCCAGCCATCCCGCCAGTCACCAACAAAGAGACGCCGACAGACACACGCGCCACGTGCGACTCGAAAGGCCGTGTCTCCCTCCCTCGTGCACTCTCTCTCGCTGCCATCAGGTCACCAGAGCCTCACAGGCACACAGCCGCCCGACAGGCACACACGACAGCCGACAAAGCGCCGATTGGCGAGTGAATGCACTCATCTTTTCATCCCCTTATGGCCCCACGAGCGCACCTGGCGAAGGCAGATGGCAGCCGGCGGCCCTCTGAGCCATCAGAGCGACTCAACGTCAGCCGCCTGACTGACGTGCGAGTTGACTGACTTCTCCTTGGTGACGGGCCGGACATCTCTCGGCCGCATGACGCCCATCAACACCCACGAGCACACCATCGCCGTTTGACGTCCGCATCTGGTCCTGACCTACACGCACACACAGACACACACAGAGCGGCTGACGTGCGGCGATCTCCTCCCTTGACGTCCGGCGAAACTGACTCACAGCCAGCCCCGCTTGCCGTTGCCGAACCCCCCGCTCCCCCCTCATGCACCGAACCCGATCCTCCGCATTCATCTCTGCGAGCTTGGCTTCGTCCAGTGTCACT